TGAGTGTGACTGACGTAGATGATTAAAATGTTGTCGTCTCAGACCCTCCGGCTGTGTGCTGGCTTCTGTGTTCTCACACCGCCTGATTTCAAAGTCAGGGGCCAAGCACAAAGTGTCAGGCTGGAGGGAAAGTATGTGAAATAAAAAAACGTTTTTTTCATGCCAATTAGCTGTTCAGATATTTTGCTATCTGCCTAACTCAAGTTTTAGAAATGTATTTGAACGTGTCAAATAAAATTATTATCTTTCGGAATAGTACTCATGTTTATTAGAAAAAAGAGAGATGATCAGAATTTGCTCTAGAGATAGGTGTTGTTCTGTGAAAGTATTTTTGTATTCATGTTCCATTTCAAGAAGTTACTAAAGGTGAGGTAGATACAGTTAGTACAAATTCAATTATTAATCTTTATGTGTAACATTTATTGGTCAGATGATTACAATAAAATTACTACATGGTTTATTAACTAATGGCACTTTATCAGTGAATATAGTGAATTATTCTATCATTTTTATTGTTACCATTTGTCTATCGCTCAGCTTGTTAAAATATTATAAAACGTTTTGAAATTTTTTGAAGATTTCCAATTCCTGGAACTGCTGTATGTGCTTTTATTGTTTGAAAATATATGCAAGACAGAAGATTATAGGGTAACCATTTCTTTCATCCCGTTGCATCTTTTAAAGAGAAGCCCTGTGTCTGTCACACCCCAGCCTAACTGTGGCTGGTGAGAGGCAAAGAGAGCGAGCACAGGCCCAGATGCACAAAGGCTCTTGACTCCTGGTTGGAGCAAACCTTGAAATGCTTACAGTGTAGTCACCACTGCAACTTAGGCAATCTGGACAACTATTATTGGAATATTTGATGTTAATGTAAAATTAACATAATTTCTAGTTCACTAGATATCAAATGCAAATCAAATTGATTAATAAGCTAACCCAAATACTTTGGAAGGGATTTTGCCCACACTCAGATTAGATTGTGTTTTACTACCCTAAGATATGTACATATCTAACTATTATACTTAGAAGGGCAAATTATTGGATAAATGCCATTAGCCATTAGAATTGATGAAAGTGGATGTTCTCAGTTACTTTCTCTGCTGACACTGAATAACACCATAGGTCCTGAGAGAGAGAGAGAGAATGGCTAATGGGTGAATGGTGTAGAGGTGGTAAGAGAGACCTAAGGCATGATAATACAAAGTTAATATAATAAGTAAAAGTTCCTTTCCCTTATTTGTAATAATATATATAGGTTTTTTTTTTCTTTTGTTTTTTTTAAACATTTTATTGGGGAATTGGGGGAGGGGAACAGTGTTGGGGAATTGAGACAAGTTGTTGTCCTTTTGTTCTTCAGTCTAGTTGTGGAGGACGTTGCTTCACTGGCCCATGTTGGTCTTGTGATCATTGTGCTCTTCCAGGGTGAGGCAGTCGCTTACCAGCCACTGGACGGCTGCTCGAGGGAGCTCACGGCAGCCCACTGCAGCCTCACTGCAGCCTACGCCATTGCTGGCGACTCACAGCAGCCCAGCTCCAGGTCAAGCTATTGTTCACCATCTTAGCTGTAGATGGCGCAGCGTCACTGGCCCATGTGGGACCCAATTCAGCGGCTCTGCTGCTCAGAGCTCGCACTCCCAAGCCAAATCTTAACCAGTGCGCCACTCGGCTGGCCCAATATATATGTAGCTTTAAATGATTCATTGAAAGGTCATAAACAAAGAGAAAAATAGGGCCGGCTGAGTGGCGCGATGGTTGAGAACTCGCTTGGGATGCCAGAGGGCCCCGGTTCGGATCCCACATATGAGGGCCAGTGACACTGCCCT